AATCTCGACTGCACTGTTGCCCGTCTTGGCGTAAAGTTCATTATCAATTCATGTGAAAGCAGCGCTTCTGTGTTGGCTAAGTCCGCAATTCAGAGTTTGAATTTGGCGCTTCAATAGGAGTCAGTGTTGGAAGACTTCAATGTTGTTATACAAATTATAGAACTGTATAAATCTTCACCTTCTTTTCTCCTGTCTTTCTACTTCATCATTTCATATTCTAACCGAGTCTAGTCAGAGGATATTATGTATGGAGACCTGCCCTGCTGCATGAACAGCTCCCACTCCCTCACTTTGCGGCGTACAAATCATAAATTTCCCCAGTCCTGGCCCGATTCGACGCTGTCTCTGTATCTTTTCATCTTTGTATCTGCACTCATTAATTTCTGCCACAATTATTATTTATATTTCGGTTGTTGTTTTTTGTAGCGCCCCGCGACTGTAGTCGCGACAAGGATGCAGTGGGGTGGGGCTCGATTATGATTATGCCACACACGCATTTCACTGCTTTAATTGCAGTTGCAGTTGCAGTTTCGATTGCACTTTGATTCCTGTTCGATGTAATTCCCGCTCGCCTGTGCGTCGTCTCGGGGATGGAGATGCTTTCGACTTCCCCTCAAAATGGATTCCACCACAGCCATTCCATTGCCCACGCCCACTCGCCGTCGGGCGACTGATTCATGGCACTCTTTCCTGCCAATTTGCTGTGGCCCCAACTTTGAGCCTAATATCTTATGCAGACTCATAAATCGTTGGCTCTACTTCTGCAGCCTAGGGCAGGCTGAAAGATGCAAATTTATGTACACATGTGAGGCATTGGTCATGGGCCATGGGAAGCGCACAGCCCAAAGCCCAAGTCCAAGAGGAAAACTTGTCCAAAATGAAGAAAACGTCAAAACAAAACCAAAACCAAAACCAAAGCCAAAACAGAAAAGAAAACTATCTTTTAATGACAGGCTAAATGTGGAATGGGAATGGGAATGGGAATGGGGTTGGCTGCTGGCAAAAAGACATTTGGCGAGGCCTGGAGCAGGAAGTCGCTTCGACTGTAACTCCAACTCCAACATCGACATCGGCGACAACTGCGAAGAGTGCGTAATTGCTTTTTAAGCCTGATTTGAGGCACGCCCTGGCCTCACTCACTCCCCGAAGTTCCCTCCCCGCACTCACCAGACTGCTGTCTGCCATTACCACCCCACTCCCCCGGCTACTCCCGTTACCGTTCACACCCGACAGTGGAAAATGCCCCACCATTAGCCCCTAAAGCGGAGCTGATCAGAGCTCAGAGCCAGCGGCGCCTTGGCGGAAGAGACCGACATCGTCATGTCGTCGGCCAAGTATCTCAAAGACACAAACATCGCAGGCACCAGACCGCCCACATGACCATATAAGCTGGAGGTTGACATACACCGAGGCGGATAGTTATTCAAGTGATGACAAAGCTTAGGGCACTGAGCAGTCTGAGCAGAATGAAGGGACAAAGGTCTCAAAAGTCTCACCAAAGATTGAAGTACTTTCAACCTAAACTCCTGGCCAAGGCAAGCTAAACTCTGAAGCAACAAAGACACACACAGATGCAAAGTGTGAATATTTACGAAGCTATATTTATGGCAGTGAAAATAATGGTACAGGCGGGTGCAGATTCCAGTCGGAAGAAAGAGAAAGATTCTCCAGAGCGGGAATGAAGAATTACCCTCGAAAATGATGGAATCATCTAAAAAAAAGGTAAAACTAAATATGTTCAGAATGAATCAAGAATTCCTATTATTTGAAGATGCGTTGCCGATATTCAGATACTTACTTTGGCTGCTCTCAGTTGTCAAGCTTGCCGAATTGGAATACACCTGATTGGCGCTTGAAGTGGCTCTCAGCTACGAAGAGTGCATGGCCCCCGGGTTAATAAGGGTTACGAGTTACGAGTGGAGGTAAATGGTAGCTAGTCGATGGTGTAGAAGGAGTTTTAATGACGTCGCAACTAGTCCAAGTTCGATGCGCATCTAGAGTGTGTAATCGGTGAGAAAACTGCCAGCCGAATATGATGTCGCGGCCCCAACTTGAGGATAAATATAGCAGCGAGCGGCTGCTGTGCTCGCTGCCGAGTTCAAATGTTTTGCTGGCTAACCGATTAATGACTCGTCTGCCAGCACTTGTGGTGGGCCAATCAATTAGCTCCTCGCCGGCTCTTTATGAAACCTGACAGGCCTGTTAGCTTGTCCCTTTTGGCGGTTTAGTCAGGGCGAGCAGAATTGAGTGAGCAAAATTAATCAGATGTGGGGGGAATGCCGAAGTCAGCGTTAGGGCTTTATTGGGTATTTGGCAATCGGGAGATAGTTTGAGGGTTCGCCTTCTTTGGTCTAGTGGAAAAATGTAGAAGGGAGGATAATCAACTGCAGACAAATGAATCAAAGCTAATCAGATGGTGATCCCGCCTGTTGAGTACGCCAAACACACTCAAATAAAAGTCATGCTTCCATAATAACCACCATTAGGATCTATTCCAAAAGAAAGCCGCCAAAAATACAGAAAGAGATGAAAAAAATAGAAAAAAATTAAATGTGCGTCGGCCGGGAATCGAACCCGGATCAACTGCTTGGAAGGCAACTATGCTGACCATTACACCACCGACGCCCCTTAGGGCTGATGGTAAGATATTCCAACTAGAGTTCCTGATTTCAGGATGAGATCCGCTATGGAAAGTGGGAAGAGAAAGAAGGGTCCAGAAGGGAGAGAGCGAGTAGTTCCTAGAAAACTTCCAATGGATTAGTTATGTTCAATAAAATAGGAATACTTTTATATATTTCGAATTTAAATGAAACATTTAATTCTGGACAGATGGTTTACGTATGTGAATCAGTTCCCTGCGGATATTCAAAGGTAATTTTTTGTTTGCTTTCGCTTTTTCGTCTATTCCCTTTCCATTTTCCCTTCTCTTCACTGAGTGTTTCTCCACAATCGCCGTTCTGCCCTGCATTCTCTTCCTGGTTTTAATTTTTAATTCCCCTTCCCTCGCTCTTCACAGCTGGTCAAATATTATCCCCATAACGGTTCTGTTTTGGCGGATACGTCACGTGCTGACCGCAGCAGATCGGAGCAGAGCGCCCATAACGGTAGCTGCCGCGGCAGCAGTAGCCGCACAAAACAGTTGTACAACATTTACCGGTTTGTGGGGCACGAGAAGAAACAGACGCGCCGCAACAGCAAAAGCAACAGCAACAGCCGCAAACGTTGACGCAGAAGCCAAGGGGCTGCCACAGCTGATCGAGTGAGTGTCTCCGATGCCTGCCTCTTTTCCGTGCTTCATTCATGAATACAGCAGGCGGCAGTGGTTGGCAGCTCGCTCTCGCTCTCGCTCTCTATCTCTCCCGCGCTCTCTCTGTGTCTAGCTCGGCCGCTGCGCTCTCCACTGCCACTGCCGCCTTAAAAGCTGACGTCGGCGCCTGCGCGCCGTTCAGACCGCGTTCGTAGCGAGCGCTAGACACGTCGCGTTTTTTTCAGCCGCCATCGTCCGTCGACCGCTCGACGTTCCTTCCTTATCGCCGGCCCCCCCGCCCAACATCCCACCCCCCTCTCGTAAGAGCTGCCTAACTTTGCGTGTGCCTGTGTGTGTATGTGTATGCGTGTGTTTTCGTTTGCGTGCATGTGTGTGTGAGGAGCGCGGAAATGGGAAGCTGCAGCAGCAGAAGTCGGCCGCAAAGTCCTGCGCGCGTTTTAGAATGCAATTTGTGTGCACTTACAGCGGTTTGCTAGCGTTTTCCTGGCGATTTTCGTGGCGCGGTTTGGGCGCGATTTGAATGCGTTTAGAATCTGTTTGCCAGGCGCTGCGTTTGTTCCGCTTTCCTCTGCCACATCTCCTCCTAGCTTACGTTTTTTGTTTATGTTTTTGTTTTTGTTGGAGTTGAAGTTGAATTCGTGATTACGCGCCATTTCCGCATTTCAGGAACTGCCCAAAAGAGGAAAAAGTGCTTGAAAATTATAAGAAAACAAATACAAAATCCAAAAAGAAACCAAAATTGAGAAAAAACACACAAAAACAAACAAATAATTACTACAACGAGCACCACTCGAAATTATAACGAAATGCAAATTAATTACAGTACAATTTAACAAATAACCGAATGGAACATGGTTGTTGTTGCTGTTCGGACTCCGAGTCGGATTTGGATTTGATTTTTGATTTGATTTTGTGTGTGTTCCGCGCTAATAGTTTCCTGCACAGCGGCACTAAACAATGGCCGAGGCGGCCATAACTAGAAAACTGGCCAAAATACAAAAATTGTTGCGAAAGTGCTGGCTGCCGCCTGCCGTTGCATGTAGCAGTGGCAGCAGCAGCAGCACCAGCAGGGAGCAGCTGCTGCAAGTCAAGTTGCTGCGGTTGCTGCTTAACAAAATACATTTTATTTTTATGACTTTTATGCGAAGTCGATAGGATGACAGCCATACGAGCAAAGTTTACCTGTAGCTGCAATAACAAAACAGCAAAAACAAAAGGCAACAACAACGGCATTGGAAAAACTGCACAACATAATAGCCAACGAAGTGGGAATACCCTAGAAGAGCGGTTCATGCCCATCCCCATTCGGGAAGCGCTGCAAGGATACGTTTTCCCATAAGCGATTAAAGTCTTTTGTTTGGTCATGAAAGCATTTTAAAGTCTCCAAAGTTCTCCAAACTGGGAAATCTAAATTTAAATGTAATTATTCCAATATTAATCCACATTTTAGACCCGATGGTTCCCAAGAGTGGGAGAAATATGTAAAAAGCTTCCCAATCACAATCGGAACTATCAAATCTTCTACTCCGTTCGAGAATCTATTAGTTGCAGGTCCTAGTCTTCTGCAGGGGTCGTCTGTTTACATATACTTCAAAGTTTCCATCTCAAAGTATGAATTGATTGAATTAATTTACGCGGTGTTCTTGGTATTGATAGGATTGAAAGGATTGGTTCATACTCCCAGCTAGTGAGGGTATCAACCGCTCGTTTTGCTGGAGTGCGTGACCTCACAGATACACATACACATACACATACACATGCATACCACTTGTGTACTTGTGTGTGAGGCTGTGGCACGACTTGCTCTTGGACTCTGCATCGCCAAATCCACTTGAATCCACGAAAGAGAAATTTCACTTTGCAGTTGTCGTTTGTTGCAGTTTCTTTTGCCGCTGATGTTGCAGCTGCCCTGCTGTTGCAAACTGTTTTTGTGTTTTTTTCACAACACTCTCGCTCCTCGTTGTGTGAAAAGTGAAATGCCATCGAGCTGACGACAGACGTAATCATAACGAGAATTCATTCAACAGCAGAACAGAAACAAAAGCGATCGAGCAAAAGCAGCGACAATGATGGCCAACACGAGGAGCAGATGCCCGAGAAGCAGCCAGAGCCTCAAAACCCCAACAACAAGAGCAGCTTCCATTAGCAGAAAATCAGGAATAACATTGCCAAAATCACCATCGACAGCAGCTACAAGATCGGCCACAAATCGATTGCTAATCGGTGGCTGCCTGCTGCTCACTCTGCTGTCCGTGGCCACCCTGGCCATGGGCATGCCCCAGCAGGAAGCGCCAGCTGCCACTCAAAATGGTAAGTCCAATCGTTTTGCATCAACTTTTGTCTGTCTGAGCATCAGCCTCTGCATCTGAGACTTAATTAGAGCTGCCTGCGAAAGTGAAACTCCCTTTCTCCATCCTCCCAAAACTATCTCTAAGCAGCGTCTTCATCTCCATATAGCTTTGGCGGGGTCTTTACGCTGATCTGGGCATTGTCTTTGTCTTCGTGGCCGAGAATTATGGCGCATAAAGTCCGTCAACCGTCGACCGTCGACCGTCGACCATCAGTGGCCAATGGCCAATGGCCAGTGTCAAGTTGAGCGCCGCAGCTGCTGACTTTGATTTGTGGCCCCGACGCTTTCACTTTGGCTGCAGGTTTCGTTGTTGCTGCTTTGGTTCGGATTTTCGGATCCGGAGTTGACTCGTTTCAGCCACAGACTAGTTCTACGAACTCGAAGAAATGGCCACAGAGTATCAGCGAATGTGAAAACTAATTTGAATTTATATCTAATACCCATTCCGGGTTCATCATTATCGGTAATGGATATTAAGCATTTGTGTTCGGGGTGTTAAGCTCAATCAACTGCCCACATGCCGCACTGCACACTTGCTGTGGAAGGAAGGGAATACTCGTCAGCCCAACTTGCTAATTTGTCAGTAACACTCCAACAAGCCATATAACAAAAGGGCGAAAGCAGACGGATGGCATCAAAAGAAAGGCAGCAAATTAATCAAAATAAAAAGATGCAGGCAGATATACGAGGGAACTGTGACATGGAGAGAGACAAAGGCGGGTATCAAATAACATTTTCCCAGACATCTCGCCGCGCTTACGACATCTTCAGCAATTACTGGAATAGAGGAGAGCTTCGAGATTGGACTGAGACTGGGACTGGGACTGGGACTAGGGAGACCCACAGACCGCATTTTGCACTTGCTTCCGTATGTTTTCCGTTGTCATGGCCTGTGGCCTCTTCGCCGAACCACAACCACAACCCCGACTCCGAAACAACTCCAACTTGAAGACAACTCCATCTGCATTCGCATCTGTTTTGCGCTGTCTCCCTCTTTGTGTCATTATGTCATGAGGCGAGTGAGTGTGCCACAGGTTCGAGTGTATGTACGTCCATCCCCGTTGCTACAAAGATTTCCCAGACACATTTTCTATTTGTCTCTGCTCAAAAACAATGCCCAGTTACGTTTCAATGCTCGATACGGCAGTGTGTTGTAATCAAAGGAGATGCAGCCAGAGCCGAAGATGGAGCTGAAGATGATCAGCTCTGCAAGACATAGAATTGAGATGTACATGAGTATGTTTGTGGGTACACCATGGATATATATTTATATACTTTTATTTAGCAACTCATTGAGACAAAGTCAAACCCAAGTAGACCTCAGGTTGCATCACAGCTCTCAGCCCCCAACCGCAAGCCTTGTGACAGTTTTCCCAGCCATGAGTTGTCAAAGAGCCACCAAAGCCATAAAGCCAACAAAGATGTTGGGCCTGATGATAATGATAATGATAATGATGATGATGATGCTGCTCTTGCTGATGGTAATGATGTTTGGGGGGTAGTGGGAGTGTGCAGCCCCCAATTTGGGTTAGCTCTCAGACATGTAATAATCACATCACCTACTCGTGCATAGTACATACCTCAACCACGCAGATGCTCGCTTTGAAGTCCGTAAAACGAGGCGAACAATTGCCGTTCATTTGCACAATGAATGAAATTTAATGAGCGCGCCTCGCATAATACAAATAATAAGTAATAATAAGTGAAAAGGCCCCAAAAAAAGACGTATACAAAAATCATATAAAACGTAATCGCCGAGAGACAGAGGTGGAGGTAGAGCCATAGCCAGTGCCAATCCCGAAACCAAAACCATATAATCGATGTTGCATGCAACATTATTTGTGTATTGTGTGCCACACACACACACACACACACACACACACTTGCTCGGCACACTCATTCTTATCCATATATCCATATATCAGTACGAGTACTCGCACAATATTCAATTTATTATTTAACCAATTTATGAGCATCGACAACGACGACGACGACTGCCGTTTGACTGCCGATCGACTGCCTGGGGGCCCACATTGAGGGAGACAGATCTGGGCCTGTCAATGGTCTCATGTTTACGAGCGAGCACCACGATGCTCTACCAGAGAGTACATGCACTGACTGAATGCATCAATCGAAATCTATGGCAAATTACACGTCAGGCGATAGTAAATATTTGTAGGAGCAACTACAGCACAAGGGTTCAACATTTATGCACAATCTAAACATTCAACTGCATGGGAAATCGTTAACTGATTCAAGGAATACTCCTATTGGAAGTATTCGAATATTTTTTGAAACATTCTGCGTTCACTGCAACAAATTCTTCCTCATTTGAAGCGCATTCAATCTTCGGCGTCTCCCAAACTAAATTGTATATCCCTTTCATGTGTTTTGTATCACTTCGCTTCTTGGGCTACCGTTGGAGTTTAATTTTCTGGCTACTGTTGCTGTTGTCTCTAGTTGCAGTTGCAGCCAGCTGTGGCAGCCCGTGGGTGTGCCTGGGGGCGTTGTTGCGGTGACCAGAAGAGTGCTGGCCCCAAAATTGAACTTGTACTGCGGAAAATCGATACACTGAGACAGTGTGTGTGTGATACTAGAAAGGAGTTTGGGACAGACACAGGCCGAGACTTGTTGACGTGATCTTGAGAGACACTTAAACTATGAAATGACAGAATTAATCGACAAACTTCAAGCAAAAGGGGAATTTTCCCTGAGTTTTCTTTCCATCACCAGTAAGTTCCACCGTATTAGGGGATTCCCCCAGCTCAGCGCAGAATGGCTTTTACACATTTCAAAGTATTTTGCGGTTCTCTTGATCGGCTTAACGTTGCCGCTTTTGTAGTTTGATTTTGGTTTACGGGCTTGGGTTTGGGGTCTGTGGGCTGCTCTCCTGACCACTGCCGTGAAGGCGTTTTGCCTTTTGCCAGCAATTAACATTTTGAACTTTGGCCAGAGACAAGCCGGACAGACTGCTCCGTACTGTACAGACAAACAAACTAAGTAAGTGCATAAAATTGGAACAAAGCCCCATTTCGTTTATCGCTTGACGTGGCGGGGCATTGTGTTTTTTTTTGTTTTTGTTTTGTTTTGTTTTTTTGGTGGGCTGTTAAATTTAAATGGTGAGGCTTAACCTTTAAATTCAGCAAACTGTTCGAATGGAGACCGCCTCGGTGGGCAGCGGTGGGCCTCAGAGTGCCCGACTGAGTGTAATTACACACATTTTTGGGTCTGTGTTTGCGTTTCGTTATTGTGCAATGCGAATTGGAGTCAAAATCAAAATCAAAATCAAAATCAAAAATCAAAATGTACTCGTTAATAAACGTTGAATGAAAGAAATGCCGCCATCCATCAGCCAGGGCAAGACTCAATTGGGCAATGGGTCGAGCCAATGCGATACGATCCGCCATCGACAAGGAAAACAAATGACATCGCCGAACGGTAGCGACAACCCAAAATGCGATTAGGATTTGGGGAGTGTGTATTGGGGGGCTAGAGGAGGGCAAACCGAATCGATCGTAGATCATCGAGTTATGCAAATCCAACGATCGATAACACTCCAGTTTAGCATCGATGAGTATTATTGGCTTATATAATCGGAGAGGCAGGTGCGTGTGGCGGGTGGCGGGTGGCGGGTGGGGCGTGTATAGCAAAATTAGCTCAACTCATTAATACCGCTGGAGTCCCTCCAATGTGCTCCACATTGGGCGAAAGTGGCGGCCGCAAATTAATAAAAATCCACAGCGAACCACGCGGCGGAGCGGCACATTTGAAATTTATTTCTTTTTTTTCTCCTTCCCATTGCATTTTAATTGCAACATTAAATAAATGAATGAAAATGTGCGACATGCTGGGCCACAGATTTGTACATAAATTGACTACGAATGCCCTTCGAGAGGGTATCTTCGATCTGTTGATTTAGGTTGCTGTCGCGACTAGATCGATAGATCCTTCGCCACTAGTTTTTTGAGGATATACGAGCTACTGTAATAGGTGTTGTCGGTATTCCTCTCTTTTGGATGCTACTTTGATGTTCATTCAGTGTTGCTATTGAAATGTTGCCATGACATTTCAAGCTTTTGTTGTGGTTTGTGCATCACTAAACATCGATCCAATTGGTATTTGTTAGTAACAAGAGCATAGATCCGAGCTGATTACCCTCCTAAAGTGCCCTTTCGGAAAGAGCAATCCTGCTTCGGTTTGATGACTTTCAAGCCGAAGGTCCGCTCGCTGATTAATTGCGTTTTGTGTCTGTGCGTTTTCGCTTTCGTCCTAACACTTCGGACTGTGATCGCAGTTACAAGCGCTAAACTCTTGGCTTTTTCGGATATTTGGCGCAATTTGTTCAACAAAAATGGGGGGATATATGTAGCTGTCTGTGTGTCTGACTGACGATGTGGCAAGCGACTAATACGAACTTAATGATGTCTTCTTTCGCTTTCGCAGTGAAAACAACGTAATTGCTCGCTCTCCGATCGCACCGATCGATTGGACATTTTGGCCATTTTCGACACGCACCGCTGGCATTTGCAATCAATCACAAAACAAACGTTCCATTTCCCAAAAAGCCAGCCAAACTGTTAGACAAGACAGATAGAAACGAGAGATAGACAGACAGACAGACAGATTTGAACGCTTAAATGCAAATTGCGTTATGCCCATAATGATCAGTTAGGGAATGTTGTAATCAGAGCCCAGAGCCCAGTGACCAGAGCCTAGAGCCAGTCCCTGTCCCAATGCCCACTCTCCAACGAAAATCAATCAGACATCAGTTTAGCAGCTGCCGCAGAGTCGGAGGATGAGCCAACCCACCATTGAGTAAACAATCATTTTGGGCCTCTGTTTGCATTGCCGCACACAGATGTCAGCCATCATTTGGGTTGGAGTTCAGGACTGGGTATTGGGATTGTTCGACTCTTCGACTCTTCGACTTCGACTCTGATTGCGATTGTACTTGCTTTAT